GGAACAGCATTCTTACATGTTTCTTCTGAGTTTTCCCATAACTGACAGTGCCTGGGAGGAGAAAGCTGGTCCAATGGCAATACTCAATCCCATGCACCATGAACTTCTATTTCCCCTTCTGCAACAGTCTATAAAGATATGTCATTAGTGCAGCTGAGGGCAGGGCTACAATGTGGTACAGGTAAGCATATAAATGTGGACGATCTTATCCCACCACACTACCTGTGTTCTAACCACGTCTGAGTAATAATGCTCCCACGGGCACACAAGGTTCCTCAGGCCAGGTGCCTTTCTCCTGGTTTCCTCCTTCTGCCCTCTTCTCTTTCCAGCTCTGGACCTGAAGTGTTTCTTCTCTTGACTTTTCATCACATAAATCTAGTTCAATACCCCATTTACACCTCCCAAATTCTTTCATTTATCATTTTCCTGTAAATCACAATGTTTTATAATAATTTAGTTTCTTGAACTCAAAGATATTTTTAAGAGTTTTGTTTTGTTTTGTTATTTTTGGTCTCATATTGCTTTGTTTGGGCATTTTTTTTTAACCTTACTCGTCTTTTGCTTGTATATTATGGTTCTGGTTTTGTGCTTTCATAAGTTCTAGGTGTGTGGTTTTTCTTTGTTTTGTTTTACTTATGTATTTAAGTAGCCCTGGCTGTCCTGGAACTCTCTCTGTAGACCAGGTTGGCCTTGAATTCACAGAGATCCACTTGTTATTGCCTCTAAGTGCTGGGATTAAAGGCATGTGCCACCACACCTGGCTTGCTTTGTTTTATTCTTGGTTTGTTTGTTTGTTTTCATTTTATTTGGCTGCTTGTTTTCTTAAGAGAGAGAAAAAAGGCATGGAATTGGATGGGCAGGGAGTTGGGGAAACTGTAATTTAGAATATAGTGTATGAGCATGCACATGGCAGCTCACATAATTTCCAGGGGATCCAACACCCTCTTCAGCCTCCACAGGCAATGCTATAAGTGATACGCTTATACACATGTAAACAAAACATTCATACACATAAAATAAAAAAATAACTTTAGCTGGGCGGTGGTAGCTCAAGCCTTTAATCCCAGCACTTGGAAGAGGAGCCAGAGGCAGGTGGATCTCTGTTTGTTCTAGGCCAATATATATTTTTTATTTTGTTCTTTTATTAAATACAGATTTTTAAATACAATATAATCTGAATACAGTTTCCCTTCCCTCTACTCCTTGCAGTTCCTCTCCACTTCCTCTCCTATCCAGATCCACTCCCTTTTTGCCACTCATTAGAAAAGAACAGGCTTCTAATAGAGAACAACAAAAGGAAAATATAAAACAAAACCCATTATATTGAAGTTGGACAAGCCAAGCCAACAAAAGAAATAGGAGAGCCCCAAGAGAAGGCACAAGAATCAGAGACCCACTTTTTTATGCATTAGTCCCATAAAAACACTAAACTAAAAATTATAGTATATATTCAGAGGGCCGTGTGTAGACCTGTGCAGGCCTTGTTCTCCTGGTGTCCTTCATCTCCTCAGTCTTCTTGCTCCTTTTGCCTCCTCTACTGTGGGGGTTCATGAGCTATGAAGGGAGGGGTTTGAATGTCACACAATCACCTTACAGAGAAACTAATTAGCACCATGTCCAGTAATGGTGAGGATGAAGTCAAAGACTTATGTAGTGACTCCTGTGTAGGCACCGCTATTACAAATGCTACCCACATATTTACGTATTAAAATATCCTAATCCACTCTTACCATCATCCCATCACAAGTAAGAAAACAAGAGACAGTAGGAAGTAAAGTGACTCCCCCACAGACCACACAACTGAAGACTGGCAGGTCTGGGGTTTCTGTCCATTTATTATTTGGGTTCGGATTGGATGTTCTTAACCACACAGGTGTGGAGGAAGAAATGACACTGAGGTGGCTGCAGCCAAGAAGTAACTGAGCTCTTTTGAACAAAACATGATTCACTAAAATATCTTTTTATTATTATTTAAAAAGATATAACTTCATATCTTTTTATTCCTGTTAGGCTCCTTGCCATAGATTATAATCAGTACCTCTTGAGTAATAACATCCCATCGAGACCATAGCAACTATGAAGAGCGTGAGCTATTAGGTCACATAGACATCCAGAATCAACTCTAACCTACTCTAACGTACTCCACCCCACTCTAACCTACGTGGCACCACAAGGACCACAGTTTTCCAATGAACATTGGAAATGAGCATTTCTATGAGATGGCTCCTCTGTCCCCAGGCTAGAACATGGGGTATGATATGAGTCTACTCCTGGCCAAAGCAGCCATTTCCACCAGGTACTTGACTTGGCCTGAGAAACTATCATTTCTCACCACTAGGTGAGGGGATGGGCATAGGACTCTACTTGGGCCTAACTTCCAGTCTTTTTCGAACAGAAATAAGGAGGCAAGAGGCTTTTCCTGGGCACCCTCAAAGCTATGAGGATTTCAGCCTGGAGCTAGCAGTAGCCGCAGTACCAGTGTGTTCAAAATAACAAAGCTAGCATGTAGAGGTCTAGAATCATCCCTGGTTCTATAGTGATATTTTGTTTGTAATCTAACAAATAAAACTTGCCTGAAGATCAGAGTGCAGAGCTAAGCCACTAATTAGCCACACACCTAGTTAAGAACTAAGCCACTAGTTACACACACACACACACACACACACAAAGTCATTAGGTAATCACACACCTAAGCCACCAGTTAGCCATAGAGGACAAGCAGTGGTGACCACACCTTTAATCCCAGCATTCAGGAAGACAGAGGCAGATGGATCTCTGTGAGTTCAAGGCCACCCTGGGCTACTTGACAGTGAATCAGTCTAAAACAGAAACAGAGCTCACACCTTTGATCCCGGCACTTTTGGATGGCACACCTTTAATTGCAGTACTATAGGAATATCAGGCAGGAGCTCAGTGCAGTGCAGTCTGGGGTTTGATGGAGAGCATTGTAGTCTGCTGTCACTCTGAGGACAGGATCGCACCCCCAACTTTGGTCTGAGCCTTGGTAGAAATAAGAATTCTCTACTGGCTGGCTGCTTTGCTTCTCCGATCTTCAGCTTGAACTCCAACATCTGTCCTCTGAGTTTTTATTACTTGTACTACATGGTTCTGTTTATGCCCTGCTCAATGCAATGTTACTAAACAGACCAGGTAATTAACCCCTGTAAGGGAAGACAAGAGAGTGCAGCTGGGTTTCTGAGACTCTATTAAATGAGTCTTAGCTTCAACTCTCTGGAATTTACTTTCTTCATCTCCCAAATGGGAAAGCAAACCATGCCTTCCTTTCCAGGCAGCAAAACCAATCCTGCCTCATGTTGCTTGGCCCCCCGGAACCTCGGGAAAGCCTCCGTGAGCCCTTCACTCTTGCATCTTTTATTTCTTGTATCTTTTCATTTTGGTACCATGCTGACAACACTGACAATGTGGTTGCTGGCTGGAGATGTAATGCATCCCTCCCCATCACCCTGAACCAAAGCTGTAGTGGCCACTGTGTGCCTAGCTGGTTGCTTTCCATCAGGTAACCCCTTCATCCAGTTTCCTCAGTTCAGGTTCTCTACCCAAATGAATTTTCATTTTTACAAGCTGCAGCCTTCAGTGGGTAGGGTTGTGCCCTCAGGACACCTTTCCTATTTTCCCTGGATAGGAGTGAGTTTTCTCTTTAACAGTGCTCATCTTTCTCTCAATTATAGATGCTTTGTCTATGTGCTCCTCGACTGCAACTTTGAACTTTCTCACACGCCTTTCCTCACCAAACTTGACACTTGTCCTATCTTGTGGCTCTCTTGATGCAGATCTGAGAAGGAACAGGGAGCAATGGCCATCATACCTTGAATGCTATACCGTCTTGACATTTCTCTCATAAACAAATTAGCCATTACTTTTGAATTCGGTTTCATTCAAGTTCTCAGGACATGGGCAGGGTGCTGCCAGATTTGCCATTAATACAAATGGTCTGTAGCCCAGTCCTCAATAGAGTCCTGTTTCACTCTGAACCCCACCTTCATCCTGGTCTCTCCCACCAGAAGATTTGCTTATCAGGCTGTTCTCATCCAAAGTTTCAAACTCTTCCACATTCCCCCTCCAAATTGTTTACAAAGACTTAAGAACCACATGGACAGAATTATTGCAGCAGCCACCCATTTCTGGCTCCCAAGTTTCTATGTTGCTTTTCCTCACTGCTTTGACAAAAAGCAAGTTAGGAAAGGGAGGGTTTCTTATGGCTCACAGTTAAAACATACACTCCATTGTGGCAGAGAAGTCATGATGGCAGGAGCAGGAAACAGCTGGTCACACTGCATCTGTACTTAAGAAGCTGAGAGATATGAATGTTGTGTTCAGCTAGCATCCTCCTTTTTCATCAGGTGCCCACAGAACAGTAATGCCTATAGTTAGAGTGGGTTTCTCAGTCTAGAAACTCTTTCATCACTATCTCAGAGGCGACTGGAGACCTCTCGAGCTGCTAATAGTTAGCACCACACAGCACACTGCCTACCCCATTACTAAGCTGGAGAAAGGAACATATTCCACTGGTGCTTTCTCTCATCCAGGGCCTTGATCTCAGCCTTCTCCTACTTCCACTATCTGCTTCTTGCTTTTCTCAAACAACCACCAGGCTCTCACCTCCTTTGACAAATCTCTTTCCTCCTTTCCTCCCTTAGGTCTTTGTTTAAGGACAGACTTCTCTGTAAGCCAGCCCCTGAACACCATTCAGACCTGCTGTCATCTCTCTCTCTCTCTCTCTCTCTCTCTCTCTCTTATTTAAAAATAAGATATATATATATATATATCTTATTTTTAAATTGCCTGAGTCTAGAGTGTAAGCTCCATGAAACAAGGGATTTTTGACTACTTTATTTATAAGTGATGCCAGGACACAGCAGTCACAGAATAAATATAGGAGAAAATGACCAAGCATGAGCCCAATCCCTTTTCTGGGGGATGAGGGATCAGATACAGTCTAGAGCAGGACAGACCCTGTCTGAAGATGTGTCTGCACTTACTTGGCACAGCGTACCCAGTGTGTGTGTCGGTACAGGGAGTAGAGGAAGCGCTGGCGGTACATGTTCCATATTTTAATTGATTTGTCTTCAGAAGCCGTAGCCAGAAGTTGGCCATCAGCTGAAAAGTCCACACTTCGAACTGGAGCCGTGTGTGCTTTAAATTCAGAGGACTTCCCTTTCCTGTAAATAAAGTTCAATAGAGATATGTTACTTAATTTAGTCACCACACTGAGTTGGAAACTTCCAAGTAGTGTCATGCTTACAAAACCTTACAAAAGTGTGTGAAGGCCATGTCCTGTGATGTACTGGCTTGGTTCATGGAAGCCACAGCTCATATCTAACAGGAATAAGGCTGGTCAACCCTGCCCCTGAAATGCATTGCTGCTTCTGTCTTAATGGGAAAACACTGTTTTGAACCAGTCTCTACATTGCACTTTGTGTTACTTTAGAAACAGCAGTCTACAGTTTAAAGAAATTTCAGCCTTGAAGAGCTAAGGTTGATTAAGGTTGGTAGTGCCAGGGAAAGGTTTGAAACACACCACATGGAGTTCTGTGAGATAACAGTCCCGATGGAAGAGGAAGGGATCTTCCATGCTATATGCCTTCATTCACAGGGTCTCTTGATAATCTGCCTTTCCCCTACTCCTGAGCCTATACCAACCAGTACCAATTACCGAGGCTCCAGTGTGTATCTACTGCCTAGCTGACCTCATGGCCTCAATCTTACACTCATGAACAACAGAAGTGCTTTAAAACTTCACAGACACACCTACTCTTAACTGGGGAAGGAGAAAGGATAATAGAGCAATGGAGAATACAATATGAGGTGTTGGAGGAGAGGAAAAGCTTTTAAAAATAGATGAGGAATGGTAACTCTGGAGAAGCCCTTACACACGTGAGTGTGCACTCTCCTTTTCTCAAGCAGCTCTCCTACTAACACGTGCTAAGTTAAAAAATCTTTCTTTAAAAAATAAAACAAACAAACAACAACAAAAACCCCTCAGCTCCTCCTCATTTAAAAGAAAAATCAGCAGGCTAAGTGGTATTGACTGCTAAAGTGAATGCTGGGAAAATCTGTGTCAGTAGCTAGTTGGCAGGGCACAGTCACTCTGCACTATAACCAGGACTTAAGTCATTTTTTTGCATTTAGAAAATCATTTCCTATAGTACATGGGGAGACTGCCACAATGCTTGAAAACGACAAGGCACCAGAATTCGGCCAGAGACATCTGTCTGAGATTCTCAAATCTTGATGCTCACACGACTTCTAAACACCTGTAGCTCACCCTGTATTTGCTACCTTGGGATTGGAGCAAGCAGCATGTCTCAAGGACAGAAGGCCGACAAGTCATATGCAACTTCTCCACGTACTACATCCACAAACCCTGAAGTTACCACTTCTTCCCTATTCTCTGGATAACCCTCCTCTTTCTACCCCAGTTCTGCTTGCCTTTAGGAGCTTCTATCCTCAGTACCCTTCACCTAGATTAGTGGAGAAGCCTCTTAATCGGCTTCCCCGCTCTAATGTTGTGCCCCTACCCACCCCCAGTCACCTACATATTGTGCTTATCGCTTGTTGAAAGGTAATACAAGCATGCAAATCCTAGTGTAAACGTGTTCCTGGCTCCCTTAACATAAAGTACAACACCCTAAGCTCCCTGGCAGGATATCCTGCCACGGAGCTGAACTTTGTACCCAGAGTGGTCAGACAGCTTCTAACACACCTGTGCCTCTGAATCCCCAGCCACAGGAAGTCCATTGCCCATCTGTAGACCCCTGACCCAACCACACTGGCCCTGATCTGCTGCAAGGGATTGAATTATTACAGTATATCCTGACTTTAAAAACTAAACTCGTTTCTCTCCTATTAACCAGTGTTCTGAGGTCAGGGATGACCTTATGCATCTCTGTGAGACCATCATTTCACACATGTCAGTTACACAGAATTCACTAACCACCTACTGAGGACAGGGATGACCTTACACATCTCTGTGACACCACCATTTAACACATGTCAGGTACACAGAGAGGGTTCAACCTACAGAATTTCACTGGGAAGAATCAACGCTTTAAAGCTTCATAGATTAAGTCTGGCTTGCCCAGCCAGAGGTCTGTGGGGGCAAATGTGACTTTATCCTTAATTTCTATCATCAGGCAGAGGATAATACATAAGGAATAACTGATAGTAGCAGTGAACATGCAGGAGAGAATATTCAAGGACTACTTCAGTCAGTTTCCAAGGTGAATTCTTGTGGAAAGAATCAGGAGACAACAAAGACTTGTCATCCCATGTGACCAGGAAGCCTCAATCAGTCAGTCAGTCAGTATCATTAAACTAGTCCCTGAACTTCAGTCTACACCCCACCCACAAGTCTGTGCTACTACACAGGTATCTTTCTGAGCTGGGCTGGCCTGTCCTGGGCCCCGATGCAAAGGAAACTCAGCAGACACCAAAGCAGCAGAGTTCATGCACTCTTTGCTGGGCTGGTGCCTTGCTGCTCTCTTCTTTCCAATCCAGTCTGATTTTGTGACTTACTCTGTCTAGCACAAGGGACACTGTGCATTTGAGGGCCTAGTCTTGAAGATGTCCAGCAGCTTTTGCTTTTACAATCCTGGAGCTCAGATGTCACTGCAGGGAAGTCTAGGCTATTCTGCTGGATGAGAAGGCTCAAGGAAGACTGAGCACACACTTTCAGATCGGCCACCAGCTCAGGAGGCTGTGTGGTGACCTCAGTCAACACCTAATGGGGAAAAAAACATCCCAACCACCCACAACATGAAGAGAACTGGTAGTTTTTAGATTAAGTTATGCAGTAAGGGGGATTTTAAGCAGTGATGAGAAACTAATCACTGATATATAAATTCCCCATTGCCACGATTCATCATTGCCCTGGCCCCACTGTGACATTATTTAGAAAGAGAAACCAATGTCCAGAAATATAATCACTATGTAAATATCCATACCAAGTTAATGATTCAATGCGATTTTAGTGCACCCACCCCACCCGGAACACTCTGTTTCTCCAATCAGTAATAGAAAACAGGCCGCAACTCTTTAAACAATGAATTAGTCCTAAATTTCCACAGTGAAGGCTTTTAATGTGTGCTTCTCCGCCTGAGCCCCAAACTCACCTTTTCCATCTCCAAGTTTCCCCTTCAGTCCGAGCACATTTTCATGTCAATCCTCTTTAAGAGTTTTCACTTCTGTCAGCATAATATTCAGACTTTTCAGAACAGAATTTCCCTTGGGTGGTGGCAGAATAAAGTACCTAGTGGCAGGCCATCACTCACAAGCTTGCTTCCTCTCTAAGTGCCTGAACCCATTTAGTTACAGGCTACAAATCAATCCTGCACCATGGAGTCAAGTGAAATGCTGATGCTCCCATCCTCTGCTACAGGACAGAGGAAAGTGACAGTATATACAGGAGTACTCTAGGGAAAGGAGGGGTAGATATATGATACGAGGATGGCTGGCTGTGGGCAGGTATGATGGGGAAACTGTGCTATCCATTCTTTATGGATGTTTGAAATTTTACATACTTAAAATTTAAAGCTCAAAAAGACATCCTACTTTAAAGCTTTTTACAATAGCCTGAACAGTGTCTCACAGAAGATCTGTTATCAGAGAATGTGACTTCAGCAAAGGCAATGATATATTGGCTTCTCAAAGCAGGGTTTCTCTGTGTATCCTGGGCTGTCCTGGTACTTACTCTCTACACTAGGCTGGCCTTGAACTCAGAGATCTGCTTGCCTCTTCCACCCAAGGGCTGGGATTAAAGGCATGTGCCAGTACCACCAGGCAATGATTTATATTTTTGTCTAATATTTTTTAAATGAGAAAATTATAGAGCTCCAAAATGAATGGTAACAACAAGGGACAGGACAGTCTAAGCACAGGGCATCAACAGGGTTCCAAGCACCCCTAAAAACCCATGAATGGGCACAAGGAGGCTAATAAATGTTGATCTATGCCATTGTTTTTCTTTTGGATTTACACAGAGATTGCTAGCCATCTCCCAAAGATTCAGACATACTGTACATATCTCCAGGTTAGAAATGGTTTTTCAAAAGAAGAACATAATTTCGAGTTGAATGACATAGTTTAAAATGAGGGCCCCAGTGAGTACAGGTCACTAAGGAGTTGACGCATCCCCAGGCCTCAGTAGCCTCTAACAGTACCAACCCAAAACTTGTCAAGTGTTTGTTCTTCTCACCTATCAGGAACCCAGAGCCTAACAGTTCTGTCTCGTGAAGCAGAGGCTAGCAAGTTTCCTTGTGGAGAAAACTGCACGCTGGTCACGACGTCCTTGTGGCCCACATATCTGTAAGCTCTAGTGTGTGGCTTCAAACTCCATAACATGAGAAAGGTGTCCCAAGAAGCAGTGGCTGTCAAGAAAGAGAAGAACAAATAAACCAGGGTTAAGACAGGAATGCACACGTGCCTCAACAATAACAACCTGTAACAGAGAAGTCGGAGATTGTAGGGCTGACTAGGCAATGGCAATAGTAGTTTATTATTTAAAACTATTTTCATTTTATTATAAATAGTCAACCTTAGTAGAGCCCTGCTTCCCAGCAGGGGTACTAGCCCCAGGATCCAAGGAGAGTGCAGGAACTACTTGCTACAAGAAGGAAGCACGAGGTAGAAGAGTACATTAGGCTGAGTCACTCTGTCTGCCCAGGTGACTGGTCTTCCGTGGGTGACTGGAAGTTCCTTAACCTCAGTTTTGGGGTAATCAGTCTTTTCACAGGGACAGATGAGCTACTTCAAAAAACTATGTGGAAGTGAGTTCACTCAGAAGCCATAACAGCATAAATAGCACTAATACACTCTTTGCCTAATCCTACCTGTTGTTAATATTTTGTCTGTATGTCCTTGGTGCTTCTCTTTGTACATGAACATGTGTGTATGCAGAAACAATTTTTTTCCTGAACTATGTGCAATGCGTTGTATAAATCACGCCATATTCATTGCTAAACGTTTTCATGAATGTTCCCTAGGAATACCGTTATTCTCCCACATACCCACAGTACAGGTAAGCTTGAGAAATTCATCACCCATCAAAGGCATTCTAACTTTGTCAACTGATTCAGAAACACTTTTAAAGAATGGGTGAGATTACCTTCCAAATCTGTTTCTCAGCTGTAATTTTCTGACATTTGATGATTAATAAAAAGAACTGTATGCCAGACATTAGCTTAAAAATCTTTAAGTAAAGGAAACATGAATGTGCTCAATAATGGAAACAAATTCCCTGACAAAGAATGAACAGTAACTCTTAGCAGAGGTGAATTTAACTCACGCCTACAGAACAAGTTCTATTATACACACATCCCAGAACAGCCCCAATAATAGGAATCAGGTCACTGGGAATCACTACATACATACAGAAGGCTTAAGGGAAAATGGCAACTTTGTGAATTTAAAGTATAGTAAGCATCACTGACAGGCAGAAATTGGGCCCAGCTTTATACAATTATGGAAGTCTCCTAAGTTCTCCAGCCTATGCATTATCCACACTTACAGTCCAGTGACTTTCTAGGCTTTAAGCCATAAAGACATTTTTGTTCAGACATTTTATTCAATGTCTTTCCTTAAAAAAAAAAAAAAGGAAGGGGGAAAAGAGTGCAAAAAAGCTGATGTTCTACCATAGATCATCCAAGCTCCAAACATCGGTATTAGGGTCTGTTTACTGGGGACTAGTGCTGACAAACCGGGAAAACAATTGGTTACATATGCACTATACTTAGGATCCAATTTTCATTCTGTGTATTATGCTGCAAATAGGATATGCAACAGCAAGTAAGACATAACCTGTTCCCTCTAAGAAAGATCACACAGAGGGACATCTTATAGTAAGACATCGTTAGCGCCATCATACATGTAAGCAGCATCTTAACATATCATTTACTCATGCCAGACACCATGATGAGAGGGTCTATTCTGGGGAAGGTGGATGAAGTGATCTAGCTAAGATGGCAGAAAGAGCACTCAGAGTAGAAGGAATGCCACTTTGTCTTGGCCAAAAGGCCTCGAAGCAATTTTGTTGTCATTTTTAGACAGGGTTTTACTTTATAACCCAGACTGCCCTCAAACATGCAATCTTCCTGCCTCAGCTTTCAAAGAATTGGGAATACAGGCATGAGCACTGTGCTTAGCATAAGAAAATCCATGTGCAAAGCCAGAGACTGTGCTAGAAAACAGGGGACAGGCTAGACAGCTCTCCCTCACAGGGCACAGACTTAGGTCAAGGAGGTACAGTGATCAGTACAGTTTACTTCAAGTGCAGTAGAAAGCCACTGGGTTTTGAAAAGAGGCACCCCCATGCTCTGGGTGGGAAAACTGTCACTGACACTGGAGAAGATGTTTGGTTTTTTTTCCCCCAAAAGAAATGTCATTAAAATGGTAAAACAATAAGCTTTTAGACAACATAGAATAGCTTTATGCTCTGGAGGTAAGCCGAGTTTGCTTAAACAAGATACATAAACTGCTAATCATATAAAGAAAGAGAAAGACATTTGTGCTATAGTAAAATGAAAACATTTTCCTCCCTTGGGGGGAAAAATCACTGTAAGCAGGGTGTGTCAGCATATGCCTTTAATCCCAGTGCCTGGAAGAAGAAGCAGGAAGGTCTCTGTGAACTCAAGGCCAGCCTGGCGTACACAGTGTTTCAGGCCAGTCAAGGCTGCACAGTGAGGCCTGTGTCTCTTAAAAATGGAAAGAAAGAAAGAAAAAGAAAGAAAGAAAGAAAGAAAGAAAGAAAGAAAGAAAGAAAGGAAGAAAGAAAGAGAAGGAACACCATTATGCTGTGAGCATGGTGGAATACATCTGCAACTCCAGGACTCAGCAGGCTGAAGCAGAAAGAGCATGTACAGGTTAGAGGCCAGCCTAGGCTACAGTAAATTCCAGGTCAGACTGAGCTACTCTGGGGATATCCTATCTCGACTAACCCCCTCCCCCACCCCCACAGCTAATCAAGGGAAAAAGTAAGCTATATATTGGGAGAAGATTATGTTTCCATGTACGTATGAATGCCTACCCCAATAGTTAACAAAGTGTGCTTAGAATCTACAAATATATAAATCAGTAGAAAATGCATACAATCTAGCAAGAACAGGCAAAGGGTTACCAGATGGCTCTTTTATACACCACAAGTCAGTAAATAAGAAAAGGTGCTCAATCTGTTAGTCATCTGGAAGCCAGTGTCACCACACCCTAATCCAAATGCTTACAGTGAAAGAGACCCTGACTCTCTGGGGACGTGGGCTGACCAGGGCTCTCCCAGCATGCCGGTTGGTATCATCACTTTGGAAATTGTTTGAATGTATCTATCTGAAGTGGAACATACACTTATCTGACTCAGCAGCTACACTCCAACCTACATAGCAAACAGAACTCATGGACATTTCACAGAAGACAAGCCAGTATTTGTAGCAGTACTGTTCAAAGTACCCCATGCTAGAAACTCATTACCCATCAACACGAAGTAGATAGAGTCATGCTGTAGTCTTCCTGTATGACAGACACAAATTAATTATGAATGTATGAAATATCACATAGAGGACAGGGAGCTTTTAGAAGAGCACACAGCCAAGTTTGCTTAAATGAGACGTTAAAATTCCCCACCATAAAGACAAGGACTTGCCGGCATTGGTGGTGCATGCCTTTAATCCTAGCACTTGGGAGGTAGAGGCAGGCAAATCTCTGTGAGTTCAAGGCCAGCCAGGTATACAGAGCGAATTCCAGGACAGGCTCCAAAGCAATACAGAGAAACCTTGTTTGGGGGGGGGTGGTAGACAAAGACTTGAATGACACTATAAGGAACTTCAGCCAGACCCACATGGCTGAGGTTTGGTCACCAGTTTGTGGTATTATTAGGAGGTGATGGATTTTGAGAGGCGGGGTCTAGTGGGAGGGGTGAGGCTATGGTTCCCAGTCACCAAGAGGGGAGCAACTTCCTCTACCATGCGCTCCTGCTGTGACATAATGCCTTACCATAGGCCCAAAAGTGAAAGAGGTAACTTGGCCACCAACTGAAATCTCCAACTAGAAGCACAAATACTCCTTTCCTCCTTGAATTGCTACTCACAAGTATTTGTCACAGTAATTCAAAGCTGACTAAGGCCTTACTGGTGGTGACTCAGCATCTTGCTCTGGGGTTGGTTTAACAAGCAAATTTATCACACAGGAAACAGGGAGAGGAAGTATAAGAAAGAAGTCAATTCCAGGATTACAATAGTGCACTTTGGAGGGGATGGTGATCTTACTAGGTCTGATTTGGTGGGAACTGGAGGGGTAGAAACTATGGGGTTTGTTAATGGACTTGATGAAGAGAAGCACAAGGATCCCGACTGCCAGGAACCCAGGAAAATCTAAAGGTCATTTAATGAGATGGGAAAGACCAGGATAGAAGGGGCTCTGGAACAGAAGGTTCTCAACCTTCCTGATGCTTCGATCCTTTAATACAGTTCCTCATGTTGTGGTGACCTCCAACCATAAAGTTGTTTTCATTGCTTCTTCATAACTGTAACTTTGCCCTTATAAATCATAATGTAAATATTTTGGGGTCTTGACCCACAGGTTGAGAACTACTGGTCTAGTGGCAGAAAACTAAGAGTTTGCTCTGAGATGCTAATGAGACACAAGCGTGAACATCAGTTAGGGAGTACGTACCTGCATGGAGCCCAAGATGTTTAACTTCAGTGTGATGGCTAAAAGATTCAGTGTAGAGTCAGAATTAAGAGACGCCTACCAGTTATGACACACCAGAAATAGAGGTGCCCCAGTTAGGTGAAGCTTGGTATACTTTGTTTTCTCTTACATCTCAGAAAAACTACTAATATAGTATTGTTATTATTTTTAAATGGGGTTGGAGAGATGGTTCAGCCACCAAGAGCAGTGGCTGCTCTTGCAGAGGATTGGGATTCAATTCCCAGCACCCACATGGCAGCTCACAACTGTCTGTCAACTCCAGCTTCAGAGGATCTGATGCCTTCACACATGCTTACATGCAGGCAAAACACCAATGCAAATAAAATAAAAATAATTAATAGAGCATTAAAAAAAAGTGAGCAAGCAAGCAAACAGAGCATGGTGGCACATGCCTTTTCTCCCAGCACTAGGGAGGTAGAGGTAGGCAGATCTCTACGAGCTCGAGGTCAGCCTGGTCTACATAACAACTTCCAGGACAGCCAGGGCTGTTACACAGAAAAACCTTGTCTTGAAAAAAACAAACAGCAACAACAAAGTAAAGATATTCATACTAATATGTAAACCAGCATTGAATCTTTTGCCTGAATTCCCCTCTTCCTTTGTTGTTTTTCTTTTCTTTCTTTTTCTTTCCTTCTTTCTTTCTTTCTCTTCTCTCTCTCTCCTTTCTTCCTTTCTTTTTTTGAGGCAGG